TTTTAGTCAAGTTAGGAATACTGGTTTATGCATGGAAGTAATCCCTTGCATTTTAAAAGTTATTTCAGTTCATTTCTAAGAGAATATTAACTTAAGTGGAAAATTTCTAGAGGTGATAATTGCTTTTTCTTCTTGCTTCTTTCTTTCTTTCTATAATTACCATTCACTGCAATAAAGCTGCTTGCAGCCAGCTGCTTCTTGCTCTCTTTGCCCCATCAAACCAAACCCCAATTTTCCTCTATGGTCTACATTTCTGACATCCCTAAATCCCAAAAGTCTAAATTCTGATCTTAGAATCTTAGGAACACAACCAGTTTCCTCCACAATGTGGCGGTGGTCCACCATAGTCTCATAGTCAGATTATACTTGATTTTCATGCATTAGCCATAGTTCATACAAGAAACACATAATCATGATGAAAAAGGCTTTCAATTTTGCAGCAGATAATACAATATGATATCTTAATAAAAATTATAGAATAAACTGACAGTATCAAGATAAAAGGATCCATTCTGTACATACCAGGTCATGGAAACAAGTGAGTCCGACTTCATTAAGGCTAGGCAGTGACCTCCGAGCAATGAAGTAGTGATCAAGATAATGGAAGAAACGAGAAAGCCACCTAACCATTACTTTATGATTCGCCCATCTTTTAATGAGTTCTCTTAACATAAATTCATCATGTTTCTCTCTTAAAGAAGGCAACACCTAATCATAAAAAATACATAAGGCATTGAAAAATTAAAAATAGTACTATTTCTTATCAAAAATTTCAAATCAAAGAGACAGACACATGATTATGAATTTGATCAATATGATTGCTAAACTACCGCAATCTGGTTTTGGAAACAAATCAATATAATTTAACCACATAAGCTGAATAAACAGCATAAAACTTAAAAGCAATATCGTCAATCCTCACCGTTGATGTGATGTATTCTTCAAAAGACTCTCTGTACTTGTCGTACAGCTGCTGGGAATAATCATGAGGCGGCTTTTGTGTACACATGTTATAGATGGTTCTTTAAAATATAATTAAGGTAACAAATTAAGCAGGGTTGCATCATATGCCATTAAAACAAAGATCAATTAGTATATTTAAACTCCTAAGCAAATATAATAAGACGGAAATGGATACGTGTAGAACATCATATAATCCTCAGAGCTGAACTGAGGCTCCGGCAGCCGTTCAAGAATATTCTTCAGCTTTGTGATCCCTTTTTGCATGAAGTCCCATCCTTGTTCAAGGTCGATTGTCTTCCTCTCATTCATAGTCATGTTACCACACCCTAATCACTAAACCCAAACACCAGAACCAGCAACGTTAAAACTTAAAATCAGATAATTCACACACATTCAAGCTAAAAATCATCACAAATTCATCAATGCAGAAGCTCAATCAGTTTAAACACTTTAATCAAACAAATTA